TTCTCCTAACTTGTTGAATGAAGTTGTGAAGGAGACATCACTAGATGATTAAGAACTTCTATCTCAAAGGCAGTAAAAGGCAGGCAAAGACCCAGAATTAAGAAGGTGCACTCATAAAAAGGAATGGCGCAATCATAATACTTACTACATATCATTTAATCCTTAGTTTGAGTCAAGGTACGTCAATCCAATGATGGTCCAACTTCAAGAAAGACCATGTGGATGTGACATAGTGTAGGAATTATGTGAAAAGCAATAGTTCCATAATCTTCTCAGCATGCGTGGACTCTCCACTTGATAATCATAAATGATCTAAACAACAAGTTTTACCAACGACTCTCTGTAATTCACTCCTGATGAATAACAAATTTGTTATACCCTATCTACTATATATAGAGAATACGCCAAATTCAAGTACTCACTTTCAAATTCAATTTAAATTTACTCTTCTTTCTCACAAACTAACTTGAGTGTTAGAGTGTTAACCTTGCAGGTCCTCCCTCTCTACACTATACTGAAAGCTTTGACTCGCCATTATAACCGCTCCTTACTTCATTTCTGGTTCTAGAATGGAAAAACAATTATATTTTGTCTAGGATTCTTTGTGTCGTCAAGCTTGAATAAAAGGTTGGCCTGGGACTTTTACTTTGTGGTATTTACATCAATTGTTGGGATTGGGCCTCATTGACCCTGACTTAGGAATCAGTAGAGGCAGTGTTGGTGTAAGCCCTATATGCCAATAGTTTTATTATAACTTTGTACTTGTATAAATTATTTATTAATAATTAAAAGGCTTTTATTTATTATGTTTGCTTTTCCAAAATAAAAGAGTCCCTAAAAGATCTATTTTGTTTAATGAAATGTTAAGTGTGACTTAATCATGAGATCTCATTAAATATAAGGATATTATTCTTAAAGTATCTGTAGTTAAGCTTTATTGTGAAGTAGGAGTGTTCACGGTGCAGTTTGGGCGATTTTGAAGCTAAAAATCATCTGAATTGCATGAGAAAAAAGTGTGATGTTTGGTTTAGTTCAATTGACTTTTAGAAATAAAATCAAACTAATGCGGTTTGGTTTGGTTTGGTTGATTCGGTTTTTTATAAAAAATTTATTGAGACATAAATACATATTTAGAGGACAACATAACTTTGTATTTAGTCATTCACACATTACCAAATAACAACAAAACTCATCATATTTGGACAACAACTTCCCATTTAATATATAAAAATCATATTAGACAAAAGTGGAATAATAAACATAAAACAATAGCATAAAATAATATCAAAAACATTATAATTAAACAAAAAATAGAGGAGATGAAAGATTAGTGAAGATGAAAAAGAAAGAACATGAGAGATGAGAGATTAGAGAAGAAGAGGTGCGATAAAAATGAAACTTGAAGAGAGAACAATAACATAAAAATGAGAAGATGAAAAAGAAAGAATATAATAGATTAGAGATTAGAGAAGAAGTTGCAAAATGTACTTAGCAAAAAAGGTGTGATACTACTAGGAGAGATTTGAGAAGGTTGAACTCAAATCCTAAATATGAGGAAGAGAAAGCAGTTCATAATCGTAAGGCTAATGCATAATAAGTTTGAGTATGTGTTGGATGTGGGTTAAGTGAAGTTTGGATTTTAACATAATGCAGTTTGATTCACTTAGGTTTGGTTCGCAAAATAAAAACCGCAAACCGAACCGAATCGTTCGATTTTGTTAAAAAATGACTCAAACACATCAGAACCAAATGCGGTTTTTTGCGGTTTTTGGTTTGACTTGGTTCGGTTTGTTGTTTTCTATTGGGTCGATTTGGTTTTGAACACCCCTATTGTAAAGTGGGATAACATTAAAGAACTGAGACTTGTTAGACGATGGCTCGGATCTAGAAAGGAGGGGGGGTTGAATAGATCCCAATTAAAAATTCAGTAGGCGCTTACCAATTAAAAATTTGTTTTAAAAATATTTGATTTGCGGAAGCGGTCGTGGAAAAATTACCGTCTAAAACGAACCGTTATTAGAAGACCGGATATGCGTCTAGCCTTATGGAAGTGATAATGAGTAAAAATTAGATTCAACACAATAGTCACACTATCAATTGATTTTACCACTAATTAGTAGGACTAGTTCCAATGCTACCCAATCACCACAAAATATGTAAACAACACAAGTGAATTTTGGTGTAGACAATTTATCAAACACTTGGTGTGCGAGGCACTCCAAGTGAGTTTTGACTTGAGTAAGTAACTCTAGATTCCTTGTACAATATACTATTGTACTAGAGTTCAAAACAGTGACAAGCACTTACTCAATCAAATAATAATTTCGATAAAATTGCTTATACTAAAATTACTCAATTTTAAAGCAAAAATGTAAGTGCAGAAAAGTAAAGGAGACAAAGATTTGTTGAGGCAGTTCCCCCGCCGTCCTCGCTTCGGGGTTACGTCTGCCCTCAATTCTAAAACTAGAATTGAGCTCAATATAATAGATATCATTTGTAGAGTTGAAATGTTTATACAAGGATAGACAAGCAAAATACATAAACAAGCTCTCTTGATGTTGATGATGCTTTCTCTTCTTGTTCCTTGATTCGAGTCGAATCAAGTTCTTCGATCATTGTGAGTAGACCTCCGATTTCATCCCCTTTGTTGAATAACCTTTCGTTCTTTAAACCCTCGGCCCAGCTGATCTCAAGCACACACAAATCAAACCCGGAACTCTCTTGCACACTTCACTGATTCCCGCTACTAGATTGACGAAACCTTCCGCTTCTCAATCACCTTCGCTCAGCTGAAAGTTGGTAGAGACGATCCGTACCAAAAACCCCTAAATTCTCCGAATCTTGGAGGACAAAACCTTCAAGGTTTTATTCAAGAAAAGCCTGCTACAAACTCAACCCGAACCGGATTCCCAATCAACGGCTTCGGACCTTATCACCTTGAACGAGACACAAAGCACACCAAGAATTGTTGTGTGTAATTGTTGTGTTGTGAATGGTTAAGGATGAAGATGAAGAGATTTGATAACAGCTATTTCACTTTTCTTGTTCTTGCACAATTGACTCAAAATTTCAATTGTTGTCTAGAAATAAACATAAAACATCTATATATAGTAACCAACAACCCAACAAACATAATCGCTTTTCACCCAAAGTGGAAAGTCTTCAGCAACAGCATAAACGCGCGAACGGTCGACCATAGCAGGATTATGCATCGACGCATAGCCTACAGATTTAGGCAAATTGAAAAGTCTTCACAGTATGCGTCAACCATAGGTCGGCGTGCGCCGACCCGTGGCTTTTTGCACTGATTCATGCGCCGACCATGCGTCGACCTGTGGTCGACTAAAACCCTGCAAAACTGCAAAAATACATATTTTTACCGGTCTCCCATATATATTGAATTTAATATGGCAATTTAGATGGATATAAGAAGGATATGAGAGGTGAAATATTGCATTTGTTGTAAAGGTAGAGTCGAGAAAACCGATTCATTCATGATCGCGTTTTGTTATCGTCGAAACTCAAGTATGTATGCTATATGAGGGTTTGCTCTCACAAGACTATTAGGTGGAAGCCAATTGTACCGAGGCCACACAGTCGAAGCCAATTGTACTTGTGAAAAATATGCTTTAACCTACTTGCGTGAGGAATGCAGTAGGGATTTTAGGTTTGTTGAATTTGTAACAAGTGGACCATTTTCTTAACCCTTAGGTTAAGATATTTATAGGCCTAACTCGTTGGTCAAATTGTTGGGTGAGGAACTGGTTCCCTCCCAATTTCTCAAGTTGAGCATAGGGATAAGAAAACTAGTTCCCCATAATAATAGGAATATGAATACTAGTTGTCCACGTTAGTAGGAAGAATCATACTCTTCTTTGGATAAATGACAAACACCAACTCTTTCAGGGACACGTGGCATGACACATAACAATTTGATTGTCTCTTAATGAATACGAAAATAGGTTGGGTGGCTCGCCCCATAACGAGATTAGTTAGATCAGACGACTCATAACCTATAAGGTTGCGCCCATCCAAACGTCTGATGTCCCTTTATAATGCATCTTATTAAACCGACTGAGTTACAATTTGTCCTCTTTTAAAACCCAATCAAAATTATAATAGTCCAATCATTCTTTTTTTTTTAAATTATATAATTTGTTTCTTTGACCTATACCCTATAAATCCTCCTTTCTCATCATTTTCTAATTTTTAAACAAAATTATAACCATATACCTATAAGATTGAATGTCAACTCTAAAACTCATCTTAGAGTAAATGTCAAATTTTATTGTTTTTTCCTACTTAACTATTATGTTAAAGCTACATTTATTTTAAATTTAATAATACTTATTTTAATTTTTAATATTAAAATTCACAAATAATTAATATGTGTGAAACAATGAACTATGGCCGTTACTATGACTATGAGAATGAGCTCTAATATTTTTCTCTCAAATGATTTGTAAACAAAATGCCGATAACGCCACATCATCAGAAACCAATCCACATCGGATAACGGGAGGCACGTGAAACAAACGTACCACGATAACAGTAAAAAAAAACGGACATATCTTATGTCAAGTGAATGCACAACAACACAACCCTCACTAACTCTATTTTGCATCCAAAAAATCCTGAAAAAATAAAAACAAACAAATCTATACAAATGATGAACAAGAAAGTCACAATAATAATAATAAGCCGAAAAGAAAGGGAAAAAAAAGAAAAAACAAGATCCACCTCGAACCTCTCTCCACTCTCCCACTACATTCCAATCCAATCACAATCACCCTCTCTTCTCTCACAACAACAACAACACCTCTATCCTCACCCCCCTTTTGTCTCCCAAACCCCATCCCCAATTATCTCTCTCTATAATCCTTCAATCAAATTCCACAAATTGATTCTCTCTTCACCACCACCACAACGGCCACCACTGCAATCACCATCACCACCACTTCCTTGAACAAAACCAGTGATTGATTCATCAGAATTCAATAATGAGAGAAGACGATTCAAATTGGTTTTCACGATGGGAAGAACAACTACCTCCACCGGAAGAACTCATGCCTTTATCACAAACCCTAATCACTCCTGATCTAGCTATAGCTTTCGATATCAGAAACCCTCACACCACAAACACTATCAACGCTAATCCACAACACCAACAACATCAACATCATCAACAACAGCAACAGCCTCAACCTTCTTCTCTTCCTTCCTCAACCGATTTCGCCGATTCCGGCGAACTCGGTTCCGGCACAGCCGGCGAAGAGCCAGCCAGGACACTCAAAAGACCACGACTTGTATGGACCCCGCAACTCCACAAACGTTTTGTTGACGCTGTAGCGCACCTCGGAATCAAAAACGCTGTTCCGAAGACGATAATGCAGCTCATGAGTGTTGATGGTTTAACCAGAGAAAACGTGGCTAGTCACTTGCAGAAATATCGGCTTTATCTCAAACGCATGCAGGGAATTTCCTCCGCCGGTGGCGGTGGTTCCGGCGGTGGCTCTGTCGGAGTCAATGACCCTGCCACGGATCACCTATTTGCTAGCTCGCCTGTGCCGCCGCATTTCCTTCACCCGGTTGCTCGGCCAAGTTCTGATCAATATATGCCTTTTCTTCCTGTGCCTGCCATTCACCATCAACAGCAACTGGCTGCTGCTCAGTATCACCGGCCGGTGGGACATTTTGGGTCGCCGCCGAATGGTCATTTTGACAATCCATTCTTGTCTAGACAGCAACAGCATCAACAGCAACACCAACACCAGCAGCAGCTTCATAGGATTGGGGCACAAATGCATAATAACCCTGTTGGTGGTTATGTGGAGGATATGGAATCAGCGAATGCATCAGGAGGGAGAAAGGTTCTTACTTTGTTTCCTACCGGAGACGATTGAATTTGGATTATAATTATATATAATTTTAGGTCATTGCTGGTGTATTTAATGTTTGGTCAGGTTCTTAATTGTTAATTTGTGTTAGGCTCATTGGTTATCTTGGTGTTAATGTTACTAATTGGTATTGGAGTCTTTATTCAAAGTTAAACTATCCAGATCCAAAAGCTCCACTGCTCTATTATGGAGTCCTATAGAAAAGAAACTTCTTCTGCAATTACCCTGTTTGTTGCGCGGTCTATATATTCTGCATCGGCTTCTGTTGACTGACATTCATCATGAATCATGATGTCACTTTTGGGAGAGATTATGCGTATGCCTGTCTTGGAATCAGTAGTTATGTGTGGTATTTAAGGCTTCCTCTATGCCGATTTATCCCATGAATGTCTGGTAATTCGTCTGCACCTTTATTGTAATTCAGAGTATTATGATTTGGGAAGTTTTGAATTGGTATTCATGGCAGAGTTGTAAAAGCTGCAAGTTTGGTACTTATCTCTGCGGAAGGACATTACCTCGGTAGATTACTAAGAGAAGCATATCTCATTGGCACATATGATTGTGAATTCTTCTTCTAAATTTGGGAGCCTCTATTGTGAAGGACTTGTCTTTTCTGTGTCCCCTCGTGTCCTATAGAGGTGAGTTGTACATTGTTTGATTCTATAGAAAAGACTCAAATGCCTGATGTAGGCAGTTTAAAATTCTAATCTTACTCCAATGTGAGGTTAATTTCTCTATGCTAGATGAAAGTAAAACTAGTTTCTTTATTTCTGAGTAAACCCTGCTTAAAAGAACACAATAAGATCATGTTTACTTACTTGTGTATTTCTTCTTATTTGACTATCAATTTGCTCATAACCAGTATCTTAGCATGCTAAGGTTTTGAGGCATATTAATGTTCCAAGTTCCAATTGTTCATATTGACTTTCCTTTTCTAGTTTTGGATAACAAATTGATGTACTTAACTTGAGAACGTTTGTTGGTTCGCCTCAGAAAGCTTGTTCTTATAGTAGAATTTTTATAATAGCTTCACTAAATTTGAAAATTTCAACTCCGGTCACTTGCCTGATGTGGTTTAGGGCCATAGACTAGTGTAAGTATCAATTATAAGATACTCTAATCATGTGTTTACTTCTGGGAGGCTTCTTAAGTTCAATCTTATTAACTTTGGTTTTCAAGTTCTGTCTGATTTGCAGAGTTTCTTTGTGCATTGTTTGTTGTATTTCGTTTTTTCTTGAATGTACAAGAAAATTCGTCTGGTTTCGGCACGACAAGATCATTGTCGCCAAAGTTTTTAAACAATTCTTGGTTGTTTGATTGCTTGAAATTTGTCTCCTTATGATTTTAATAGTTGATATATCAGTTTTGATGAACAATTACATTGCAACAGCAACCATTTTCTCTCGTGTTTTCATGTAAGATTTGTTACCCCCTTCAAGTGTGTTGTCATCTCTAAGTTAATCTTTTTTTTTCCTCAATTTTTTAAGCAATTCAGTTTCCTTAAAACAAAAACATATTTAAGCATAATTTGAAGAGTGAAAATATGTTGATTTTAAAAATATCTCTAAGATGAAGTCATTATAAACAATATGGTTTATTAATTTAATTTTTAATTATTATAATCATATAATATTATCAAGCATACCAAGTTTTATATAAATTTAACATTTGTAGTTATGTAATCTAATCAATATTATTTACTTTCATTTTTTTAAAAGTTTATATAAAATTATTCAATGAAATATCGAATAATTTAAAATTTTACAAAATTTTAAAATTTTATTTTATAAAATTTTGTAGAGCTGAACTCCTGCTATGAAAGTCACATCTCCTAGACAAAAAGAGAGAAAATTGGCCTAGTACACTATGCTAGTTATACTTATAATTTTACTATTCTCGGTTGTTTTCTTAGAGGCTACATTATTGGAGTATATGTCTTTTTTCTCTTAACAGCTACAAGACCAACTAACACTGGGGTCTCATGGCATGTGACACTAACTTTATGAAAAATAATTATTTTTATATAGATTTTGTTTTGTTCTCAATAGAGTAAAGTTTTATTTTTATTCAATATCAAAAGTCTCTTTCTACAAGAAACTTGAACCACCACCAACAACTATCTTCATCTTAGTTAGTCACTAACTTTATGCGCTAAGCATTTTGTCAAAAAATAAGATTGATTTTTCTCCACTTACGACAACAAATCAATTACCTCATAATGCACTACCTTCCAATGACAAGACTCAAACGATAATGTTCTTATAATTAATCATGATAATTTTCTATTTTAATTAAATCATAAAATTCTGACCTCAGGGATAAAAAGTAGTCATATCTTGTAATTATGCCTTATAAATGAGAAAAGTTTAGGTAAATGTCAGTTCTGGCTCAACTTTATAGTACTACATATAAATATAATATAACATATGGTCTGCATTATAATAGAAATGGATTAGGGGAATCTTATGTGTGGACCAGAAACAAAAATCTAGTTCTGCATCATGGTTCCTCTACAGGATGGATGATTGGTACAATATGAATAAATTTTCATGTTCATCCAAAGTACATTTCACATGTGGGTGGGCCAAACAAATCTTGCAACGTTTACTTATCTATCAATTTCCTCCTCACATTTTTTTAAATATATATATATAAGTTGTAGTAATAATTAAAAAAACTCACATTCACAGTTGTGAATATCAGAGTTTTTATCTTGATGATAATGTTTAATTTAATAATATCGATCTCTGTTGGTTGATATATGATTTGCATACATAAATTTCTTTTCTTTATTTGATATTTATTTGATTATTAATGTAGGCAAGTTTCTGAGATTTGGGTGGGTGACAAAAGAACATGATTTGCTGGATTCCAGCACAGAAGGAAACTAGGGGGAAGAAACCAACCCTGGTTGGGTACCATATCATTTATAATTCAGATTGTAATTAGGTCAAAGAGATAGATGGAATAAATTCCAGATCATCCATTTCCTATTATCCTTTGCTTAAATGAAAAATATACTTTTATCATAAAGAAAAAATAAGTAGTAATAAATATATTCTGCACAAACTACATTGTGTATTAAAAATGATTAAGCCAACTCATGGGATTGATTAATAGAGTATAATATATGATTGGTAAGAGAGTGAAAGAATAAAGCGATAAGGAGAATCAAAATTTCATTACTACTATCTCGCTACAGCTTTCACATTAGAACTACTCTAGAATTACCGTGCGTCTGCGGACCAGATTCTACTGCAGTTACTGTTTGGTGTAATCACTGCAGTCATTCCTATTTAACTATCAGATGGACTAACCACTACATTATGACGCTTGCAATTTTATTCTAAAGATTTAATTTTACCATAAAAAAATTTGATTTTCGATAAATTCATTTAAATTGGTTTGTCGTATAAATTGAGTGAATTTAATCGATTTAATATTTATTAAATTAAAATGATTCATTTTTTTTATAAATTCATACATTCATATTTTATTTTCTTAAAAAAATAATAATCAAAATTTTAGATTCACCTAAGTTCTACTATCAAAAAAACTAAAATATTTTTTTCAAGTAATAATCAAAATAATAGAAATAACTGAATTTTAAATAATAAAAATAAACAACATTAAAACAGAATGAGTTCAGATTCTCTATTAAATACTTATATATATTTCTCCCTCTTTTGTCACATCAAAAAGAGGAAAAAAGAGAAACAAAATAAACATATTTATAAATGCAAAGCAGATCATCATTACATGATTGGTTTCCAATAAAGAGAAAACAGTTAAATAACAGAGAACATTAAAGGGTTGTACAGAGCATCTTTAATATTTATTGGTCGTAACACTTCCAAAAATCAATAAAGGATTTTATTCCATTTAGGTTACGCAGACTCCACTATAAAAGCAACCGAAACATATGTCATTTTCATCAACATTCTTCAGCACAACATGGAGTCCTCAATTGAAAGTATCAACATCTCTACCATAATAGAGATATCAGAAGGTGCTAAAAATTTAGAGGTTCAAAGTTCTCAGAAGCCAGCAAGTTCTGAAACATATGAGTCTGGTTCTTCATCTTCTGTACTGAAATCTTTTGAAGAGGGTCCATCCTCAACTGCAATGAGACCTTTTGAAGCAGGTCCATCAATTACTAATTTGAAACCAAAGAAGAAATCAATAAAGAAGAAGAAAATCAGAGACAATATATTTTATCAACTGATTATCTTATATCCAGAGGATGAGGATGAACCTGACATTGATTAGGGAAACTGGATGGGTCATAAGACATTAGAGGAGTTAGATTAGTTTAACCTTAATGTCCTCTTTCTTTTATTAATCCTTCCTTTTTATGATTAATGAAAATGTTTTGACCGTTATTAAATTTTCATAAGTACAATTTTTTACTTTTCCCTTTGATTTTCTGAAAAATACATAAACGAAGTAAAATATGAATAAATGAAATAATAAAACAAACAGATGGTTGTTATTATGACATTTATAGTTGTCTTAAGAGAATATTTATTAGAATTATATACTAGACATCATTTTCCAAGAGGCAGACATTAAAAGATTGATTTGACTACTCAATATTGAAACTCTAAACACTCAAGATAACAGATGAATAGTTACTATAAAACATTCAATAAACCATCATTCTGAATCACTTAATCTTTAGAACACCAAAAATGTATAAGCAGAAGAAAATTTGGGTTCCAAAGAGAGATTTTAGAAAGACAACAATACTGAATGAGCAACTCAAGCAACAAGAAGAATGTAGCAACTGAAGCATCTTCAAGCAAGAGGATTCCTTTAGAGGCACATACATCTCCAGTAACCTTTTTTGAGACACATGGAAGAAAAAGAACTTCCAGGTCAAAACGCAGGAATCTTCTCAGGATGGAAGCTGTTGAGTTTGCAAAGGAAGATTGAGAAGATTGTTTAAACAATCTAGATATGTCAGATTAGTCTAGGGAATTTCTTAGAACATATCCAAATGTCTA